CCGAAGTCCATACGACGCCCCAGCTCTGCGGATGTCTCGGGGGTATGGCAAAGTGGAGTCGATTTTTTGAACTTATTTTTGTGGGTTCGAATCCCATCTTATGCACAAAAGATTTTTCTTTTTAAATCCATATTTTATTAGATTTAATCTTCAACAATAAGCTAAAACAATCTTTTTAGCGAAAAAAATTAATTCCTAGTCGGTTGCTTATAAGCCTGTATAAGTTTGATAACACGTTATCAGTCATATAAGCAATAGGCCTCTGTGCATGATACAGGCAACCCAGTGAACGCCTATAGGGCATCTTGTTATGGTTTGTTTTTGATCCTTAATCTGGTGGCTGACTGAAATGTTTTATCTGTAGTATCACAGCTTGAGACAATCACAACAAAGACCTAAGATTCATACTTGGTGATTCATACTAGTGACCTAAGATTCATACTAGGTGAAAGTCCAAAGATCAAATTATAATTTAGAAGATAATTTTTAAGGAGGGAGGAAAAGCAGAGAACCGAAGAAAAACCCTTGAAGCATAGGAGAGAACCAAGGAGAAACTCTACTCACATATGACAATGAGTCTGAGAGGCGACGCAATAGCCGCTGCACACCAGTGTGCTCCCCTTTATACTGCTGCTGCTGCTGCGCTAGTCGACTGCTGTTGTTGCTTCTTAACTGGTCGTTGCTGATGTTGTTAGTTGCTGCTGCTGCTGTTGCTGTTGCTGTTACCACGGTTGTTGTTGCTGGTGTTGCTGTTCTGTTGCTGCTGTTGTTGCTACTACTGTTGTTACTACTGCAGCTGTTACTGCCGCTGTTGTTGCTGCRGTTGCTACGGCTGCTGCTTTTTCTGTTACCACTGTTATTGTTGCTGTTGCCATTGTTGCCGGCTCTTGTGCCACTACAGTACTGCTTTTGTCAGGTTGTTACTGAGACTACTGTTGTTGTTACTGCTGCTGGTCTTGTTACGCAGTGTTTTTTTGTTGCTGTCTCAAACAGATATTTTGAATCAGGTTTTCAGTATGTAGCACCAACCAAGTAATGAATAGGCAGGGTAGGAGAAATCATCACGTACCGGAAGTATAAAAACCCGTAATTTCCTCCAATGTTGGGCTTCCTGTGTTTTAGTCAGCGGGTTCTTTTTCAAATCAAAATGGCGGTGTTTCCTTCGCTTCTTCCCCGTCTAACGGACGACTTGTGGTTTAGCGTGGATAAAAGACTAGACGATGATGCTATACTAGCAAAAGAAGAAGAAGAGTATATTTCTCATGTGCGTGATGTTTTTCTGCTGTTATTCCCGTTGTATCGTAAATAACTTTGTTTGCTTTTGCAGCTTCACTCGATTGTGGAGAAGGGAAATGATATCGTTCCTCTTGGAAAATCCAAAGAATCAAATGAGGTAATAAAAACTTGGTTCCAAGGAAATATATAAAATATACCTATAAGTAGTTATTGACATATTAGGCAGGAATCAAGAATTAATTCTCACCCTACCCCC